TTCTCTAATGGGAAGGTCCAAGGCTTCACCAAAACTGCTCCACTCCTGTTATCTGCACCAGCAACCTCAAAACTCTGGAAATATTTCAGTAACACAAAATAATTGGCAACAATAAAGGTTAATTAAGTAATGTATTAGTATATTATGCATTTTTTAATCTATTTTTACTTAACGGCCTGTGCACGCCTGTTTTAACTTATAGTTGTTTTAATATGTTTTTTACTCAACTGTAACCTTCTTTTACCTTTTTACCATTTCCATATTGATTTAATTAAATCTGTGTATACAGACTTTAATTTGAGCCGGATCCTGCCGGAACAGGATCCAGGAACTCTCTTATTTTGACAGGCTGACTTCCGGTAACTGTTTGCTTGGATCCAGTAACTCTCAGGCTTATTAATAATAAACTTATGAACAAATATGACTGCATTGAACAAATAACTTATATTGGATATGTAAACTGAAAATAATTACATAAACACAAATTTTAAACACAACAGCCACTTACGAGCTTCTTAACATCACAAACGTGCTGCCCCTTCTGCTACTCTTAAAAAAAAATCTCCGCCCCTAAAAGAGTGGTGGGGGTGAGTGCCGAGTTAACCAGGCAGTCGTACGCGGGGAGGAGCCCACAGGCAGCCGCCATGAACACACGGAGGAGGAGCCCGGAGGTTTCAGGAGGTGGAGTCAAACCATGACCAGACGGAGGAGGAGCTTGGAGGTTTCAGGAGGTGGAGTCAAACCATGACCAGACGGAGGAGGAGCCTGGAGGTTTCAGGAGGTGGAGTCGGACCATGAACACACGGAGGAGGAGCCTGGAGGTTTCAAGAGGTGGAGTCAAACCATGAACTGACAGAGGAGGAGCCTGGAGGTTTCAGGAGGTGGAGTCATACCATGACCAGACGGAGGAGGAGCCTGGAGGTTTCAGGAAGTGGAGTCGGACCATGAACAGACAGAGGAGGAGCTTGGAGGTTTCATGAGGTGGAGTCAGACCATGAACACACGGAGGAGGAGCCTGGAGGTTTCAGGAGGTGGACTTGGACAACAACGTGCATGGACACAGTTGGGCTCTGAACCGTCAAGTTAGGGGGAGGGGGTTGGATGCTTGACAGAAGCAGGATGTTTACAAATGTAGGTAAACGTGGACACTTAACAACCTATTAAAATACACCAAAATGCAGGAAATCGCGTCTACTTTATTTAAAAATGTTGGTGGAGGATCCCCCCCCCCATCCAGCCCGCCCACTATTTGCGTTCTAGCATCGATCAGTTTAAAATTAAGCCCTGTACAGACTTCACTGAATCTTTTTTTTGTTGCTTATTTGTTTTGAATTTTTCATTACTTTGAGTTTGAAAAATGCTGCAGAGATAAAACTGAGCTGAACACAGAAACGTCTGTGACAGTTTTGTATTTTAAGACGGCAGCAATCCATCTTGGACCAGCCCTTAACTCATCTATGTCAAAATAAACCTGTTTCCTCCAATCTAGGGCTGCTTAAAGAGATATCTAAAGCAGGTAAGATATTAATTGTTCATGATTTTTAGTCAAAACTCAGCTTCAAAAGAGCCGAACCATCACTTCATGTCAGAAATGTTTGACGTCCTAATATCAAAAGAAGGATGGCAACAAGTCATCGTCTCCATCAGGAGCCTGCAGACGATCATCCCTCGTCCGCTCGCTTCGTGAAGCCTGGCTCTGAAGGTCTCCTGGAGCTCCTGTGGGCTTCACCATGGGGGGTTAAACACCCAGCCATACAAAGAAAAAGAAAATTCAAACGATGCAGAGACAAAGTTGTGGAGGTCGCGGTCATTAGAATAAATGAAACTTCTCTTTGTGGCTAATCTGGAGTGTAAAGTTAGTTCGTTGTGCTGCAGCTCAGTTTGTACGTCTGCTGTTCAAGCTGCCTCTGACCGGCCGCACGTCCTCATCCGACCCGTTTAATCCAGACCTTCACATCGCTCTGTATCCACAAGAGAAAGGAAAAGGTTACCCACGCGTTTCCCAGAGTTGCACAGAGGCCACTTGAAATGTAAATCTCAGCTCTGCTTCCCCCATGTGGGTAGCAACATTTTTATGAAAACGACCTGATTTGAATTTAGATGTGGGTACACAGCAGCCGGGGCATGTGCAGAGGCGCGGGCCTGTTTAACATAGAGCCGGATGAACAAGCTGCCGGTGACTCCAGCACGTGTCCGTCAAAGAGACGGGCTCGCCCTGTCCAAGCCTGACGCTCAGGGCGTTTGGAGATTAATCTAAAGCATTTATTTCAGGGCATTCAGTCACTAGACAATAACTGAAAACCCAGCACTGCTCGTCTCCTTCTGCCTCACAAGATTTAATCTGACACGGTAAATATTATTTGTCAATCAATAAGCACGGCTTTTGGCTGGAAAGACCTCATTCAGACAAATGAGCAGCTGGTTCTTGAGGACGACGCAGCGATTACATTCAGACTGGCTGAAAAATGATTAGAGATCTTTGGAAGTGGTGCTCCGTAGAAATGTTATGAACAATTATTATCTTACCTGCTGTAGATAGCTCTGTGAAGGAGCTCAGTTTGGAGAAACGGAGTCTCAGTCTGACCCGACAGATGAGCTAACCGCTCACCTGAGCTGGACCAGCACCAAGGAGCTTCACTGCTGTTTTAAAACACTCTGATCCACAACTCTTTATGCCAACATTAACATTTACATTAACAATTCGCTCTATTGCTGTTTGTGACAGTAAGACTGGACATGACACACTGATTGATGGATGAGCTGCACGATCGGCATATACTTTTTTATTTAAAATAAATTATTTAATATTATTTAGCACCTGCTGCAACTTTGTGCAGCCCACACTGCAGGATAGGCTTCCTGCTGCAGCTGATCAGCTGTTCTCTGTGCAGAGCGGAGAAGTGGGCGTGGCCAAGAGCGCTTGCAGGTGGCAGAGAGCTGAAATCATGACATGCTGTCTCTTTTAGAGAGTTTAGAAACACTGTTTAGAATATTGCACGAGTGATGGAAGGGTGTAAAACACCCCTCTCGCTGATAATATGTGTGTATATATATATATATATATATATATATATATATATATATATATATATATTCATTCAACCTTTATTTATTCAGGTTAATCCCACTGAGCCTCATTTACAAGAGAGAGCTGATATTTATGACCCAAGTCTGGAACGGGGAACCTCTGGTCTACAGATCTTTGACCTGACTTGTTATGATATTTCAAACAAATGAGTAAACGAGTGTGATCTTTAAAATACATCAGATAACTTCCATCCATTACCTTCACGCTGTGTTGTAGTTTCTGACAGTTTCTTTTATGCCCTTGTTTTAGTAAAAATCTGATATTTACACTGAACTGATGACGTCGTCGGTCCTCGCTGCTCTTGTTTTGTAGCTCTGAAGCTCAATCTTTGAGAATCACTGCATTAATGGAACGATTCAAAACAGGAACTGAAGAGAACGACGAGAGTGTGATCCAGTTTCACAAGACGTGTTTTCTGATGAGGATTTGAAGAACGCTGAGTCGGAGTTCCAGAGGTCAGGAGGTCAGGAGGTCAGGAGGAAGGGAGAGCAGAGTGGATGAGGACTTCAGGCGGTCCGATGGACCCAGGGAGCTGAATGGAGGATGAAGACCTGAGAGCACATCTGGCTGGTAGTTTACAGAAGATCAAGAGGAGACCGAGACCGAACGGCCTTTAAAACGAGAAGCAGACGTTTACAGTCAACAGGAAGTGAAGCGGCTGAAGGAGGGCGCTGAGGTTATACGTGCAGCATTCTTCTGACTCGTGAACTTTTATAGAGGACCAAAGAGAAACGTGTTCCAGTATCCAGATGTGAAGTGACCAGGACATGGACCAGAGTAAGGGTTAGATGTTGTGGAGGTGGAAAAGTACTGACTGAGTTGTTGAGGATGACCCTTGACCTGAGTGTTAAACGTTAAGTGTTCACACGCTATGGATTTTTAACAGATGGCAGCAGTCTACTTTGGGTCGTGGCCCATTCGCTTCTTAACTGGGTCAGAATTAAACTTTATTTATCCAACAAACTATTTCTCTTATCTTTATTAACTTCCAAGCAGAACCTGGACGTTGAGCCCAAACAGCCAAAGGTTTTAAGTCCGCTCGACTTAAACCAGAACAGTGTGCGCTGAAACATGGAGATCTACAACAGGTAAGATACTGATTGTTCATAACCTTTAAATCCCCTCTGAAAAGTCTGAACTGTGCCTTTAAAATGGATCTGAAGTTGTTTGAAACGTTCAGTTCTGAGCTGCTGCCCATGAACCTCCAGCTGCTTCTTGTTTGTCTCAGGTTTCATTTTGAAATTCAAAGTAACTTTTGACCCCAGAAACCCTTAAAGTGTGGATGAGTTCATAAGATTATCATTCTGTTATTGTTGTTGTTGTTGTTTACCTTTCACACAGCTGGCTTGTGTTCACGCTGACCAGCCTGGACATAAATTGACCAGAAGAGTTGTGAGAGCTCGTGCATCATCACTTGTTGCTCACTTTATGGTGCACATCTCTCCACCTGCAGGACAGCTGCGCGCGCTGCCACGTCTCTGCGCGTTGCCTACAGTGGACGCGCACAAGTGTGAGGGGTGTGCGCGGTCCTGTGCCAACAAAAGCAGCTCCTCAGCTGCGCAGCTGCGCGTGAAGCAGCTCCGGAGCCAGCTGCCTCCTCTCTGCGCACGAGCGCACCAACTTTCGTCTTTTTAACGCGCTGCTGCTTTTTTATGGTTTTCATTTGGTCCCACAGCATTTAAAGGGGAGGCGTTATTGCGTGCGTGTCTGTGTGCGTGTGTGGTGCAGCGAGACCGTCAGTGCGGTGTCGGGTTACAATCCGTGCGCGGAGGAGCCGCTCAGCTCACGGGGATCCGCACAGGATCTGGACACGGAGGAGTTTCTACATGTTTCCAGACACGCAGCAGCTGTGAGGATCCTCCATGTTCACCTCCTGCTCCGCTCCTCTCCTCCTCCTCCTCCTCCTCTCCCCGGGACCAAACGCGCAGCGTCGCTCTGCTTCATGAACCCGAGTTGGCGCCACTTGGTAAGAAGCTTCTTCCTCTTCTTATCTCGAGCTGTGCACGGACACCACGTACACGGAGTATCCTTAAACATCATGGACATTTTAGAGTCCGGTCAGAGGAGGTGATGGTTGAGGAGGTGATGGTTCATGAGGTGATGGTTGAGGAGGTGATGGTTGAGGAGGTGATGGTTGGAGGTGCAGATGAGAAACCAGCGCAGAGCCGCGCGCACCCCCACAACAACACAACCTTCCAGTTGTAGAAGTTTGGAGCAGCAGCCTTGTTCTTCTGTCCACTTGGTGGCGCTCACACATCTGGGAGCTGTTTAACATCTGCATGAAGTGCTGGTGTCACAACAGCTCCAGCTGCTGAAGTTCACGTGGTCACGACTGGATCCAGTTTGGCTTAAAGTGTCGATCATGGTTCTGAAAATAACTGATCAGAGGCTTTAACTGATCAATTTAAAACAAATACACATTTATCAGAGTGTTTTTTGGAGTCTTGCGTTCAGAATGAAGTTCAAACTCATTTCTCTGAACTCCACGTTATTCATAAAATCACAATGACCAAGTCGCTCCTGACCTTTGAACACTGGAGCCGTTTATTTAAAGGTCAAGAACAGAATATTTGATGAGGAGCTGATTGTAAAATCTGTTTCCTGTTCAAATGTTCGTCAGGCGTTTGGTTCTGTCCTTCAACGTTTGTGAAACAAAGGAGGAATAAAAGCTTTACTGCAAATCTGAGCTCACGAAAGCATCACTGGTGCTTCATTAATTGATTAAAAAGTGAGTAAATGTGTAAAGAACGTGTTGAATTGGAGGCAACGTGAGTTTTACTGCACAGCTGGTCCCTGCAGGAACATTCGCATCTCGTGATTGAAGAAACGTAATTATTTACTTGATCGTCTCCACCAGTGTTTGAGCCTGAGGCGTGCATCTTGTTAGACAACGTGCACTCTTTGTAGATATTAATTATGCAGAACTCGTTGTGTTGAACAGTTTGTGGTTGCATCATCTCTGATTAACACCTCTTTTCATTTTGAGGGTTTCATTTGGCGACGATGGCCGTTCTGCTGCATTCATGCCATCATATGACAAGTGACCCTCGTCTGGGTGGAGTTACTGTAGACTCAGCGTCGTGGCTTTTTATTGGACTCTGGCTGGTGAAATAGGTTCAGGGTGTAAAAACAAGGAGCACGAGTGTGGAGCCTGCATGATGGGATTTAGTGCCTTTAGGCAAAACAAACAGCTGAAGACGATTTCTGTCGGATTCTCTTGGGAAATTCAGTGTGAAGAAAAAAACATAAAACATTTTAATTTATCTTGATTATTGTATCTGTGGTTTTATTGTAACGAGTTGTTGAAGAGCTATATCTGATAAAAGTGCATTTTGAGACGCGTTATTAACAGAAACGATACAAAGTGATGATGAAATGTAAGAAGGACACATCTTCATGTTACTTCGCTGCATGCAGTTAAATCAAAGAAGCTCCATCAGTAGAACAGGAGTCAGAACTCCAGAACGGAGCGCGCGCATGTTCGACCAGCGTCGGCCATGTGTGCGTTGGGACGGGGGTTCGCCTGAGCTCTGACACCAGCACAAACCCAGCAATTAGCCTCATCCAGGAGGACTCTGATGAAAACGACCCCGCCGGCTTCAGAAGGCTGTGCGGTCACCATGGAAACCGTCAGAACGACAGCCTCATTGTTGCTGACCTTTGTGATTGGGCATCCCAGCGGGGGTCCGGCCCTGCTGGGAGTGAGAGCGAGAGGCATAATCATGCACGTGTAAACTAAGCAGTCGTTACCCTGTGACCCCTCGCTGCCCCCGTTTGGTCACTGGCACCGACAAGATGGGGGTGTCAGGGGAGGACCACAACAGATCTGAGGCTGTGAGAGTCTCCTCAGCTCTGGTGTGAACAAACCTGGAGACTGAAAAAAGTCTGGGGGGGACTTCCTGCTGATCTTTGCCCCCCCCCCCCCCCCCCCAGGTGTTTATTCATCACAGCTACTTTACCCTCATCTGGTCCTTTCCTTGTTGCTGCTCACACATTTACTGAAGAGGTCCAGCCCATGAAGATGCAGAAAATATAATTTTTTAATTCACATCTGTTTGTTAGTCTTTTTTTATGGGGGTGGGGGTGTCGTGCACAACAATCTGAGCCATGGGTGCACGGCACAGAAAGTTGTCACTAAACATCTTTTTATTCTTCTCGTTTCTGCTTCCGTCAGTCATTTAGTCAGATGGTGCGTGTTGTTGCTACGGCAACGCCAAGGTTTCCCACAGCGGGTCTGAGCGCACGTCCATCACAAAGGAAATAAAAGTTTTTCATTCATAACACTTTTAATTTTTTTTATTTTTAACCGAGGCAGTGGCAGAAAAAGGAGAGGAGCAGTGACATCTGCTCATTTTCACCAACTGGAGTGTTTCTGCATCTCCTCCCATGGAGGTCAGCTGCGAAGGGTTGAGCAAGAGCCTGCGAGGAACAAATCCCAGCTGGAGCAACGTGATGATAAAAGGAAACCAAGACGGTGAAACGGACACGGTGGGACGAGACGCACCGGCAGCTCTGATGGGACGTTCTCCCGTCAAACAGAGAGCAGGTGCAGGAAACGACGAGACTTTCTGTCCGTGCTGCTTCTGAGACTGAACGTGTGGTTTGAGGGACACGTCCAGCTTGGAGTGGACATGTTGGTGGACATATCTCCTCCAACTCTCCATCACTTACTGACCACAGCACGAGGGCATCCTCGAACAGCAGGAACTTCTCTTTAACCCACATGTGCTAAGACGGGTCACGAAAGCTTCTTTTAAACCAAGGATTGAGTCAAACAGATGCTGGGAAGGTTGAGAGACGGACTGAAACCTCTGAGACAACAGGAGACGTGAGGAATAACTTCTAAAAGGAACTTCCACAAAACATTTCAAGGCAAAAACCTTCAGGTTGTCTCAAGGCCTGTCCCAATAATCAATAAATCAATTAATCTCATGATAAATGAAAATCATCAACCTCATTTTCATTTATCAGCTTTATCGTTTCTTCGTGTCTCTTTCTTCTGAAGACTCTGGATGACAAAAGGTTCAACTCCGGTTCTTCACTGGCTCCTCCCTTTCTCTTTAAAATCCATTTAACCATCTAAAATAACGTTTTGGATTGTTAAAAGCAGCTAAAGCTGAGAAGCTAAGCTACGAGCTAAGCTAACAGGTTGACCTCATGGAACAAACCTCCGTCTTGTCGAAGCTCCAAAATTCACGGTTGAAACTCGTGCCTTCGTGTAAAAAGTTGTTTTTTCTGCAAAAACAAGCTGAGAACTTGTTTACTGATTTTTATTAAAAGCTTTGTGTGAAAGATGCTAAAGAGCTCAAACCACACCGAGCGTCTGCCATTTTGAAAACCCTAGAGAGGCAGCCCATGTCACGTCAAGAGGCCTCCCTCACATTTGTCTTAAAGAGACACGCTGCTCGCTCCCTCTCTATCCATCCTTCGGTTCAAACTGTCTTATACTGCCATCCAATGATCAAAAAAGTTACTACACACAAACCAAATTAACCAACATTTCTTCTTACATTTGACAATAATTACTAATTATTGTCAAATTTCAAACAATATCGTTTATCACAATAATTTCTGAGACAATTAATCGCCAGTAAAAGTTGTTATCGTGACAGGCCTAGGCTTGTACCGTTGTGCCTCCAAGCAAAGTAAATCTTTCCAAAGCCGTAACTTAAATTCTCATCATTTGCTGCCAGAGTCTGCCAGTGCTCACAGTGAGACTTGTTGTCAACATCTGGAGAACGTGTCACTCAAAGACCTCAGGAACACAAACAGTCAGAATGTGTTTCTTCTTCTTGACTTTTCAATAGACTGCTCTCGTTGCCACCTGTTGCTTTAAAGGAAACTGTGGACTCAGGTAGACTGCTGTGCTTCAGCTGAACCAAGACGTGCACACCGACACACCTGCACTGTGACTCACCTCGGTCAGAGAACATCAGGACGGTCGTTGAACCACGCCGAGGGTCAAATGTGTCGCTCTTCATTAAAACGTACACTCGGACTGAACGTGGCTCAGCTGCCATGATGGATGCAACGAGCTGCGCTGGTGCCATGTGGGCAGAGGTGCACGGACTAGAATACACGTTTGTAAATGGTGCACATGACAAAAGTCCTCATTTCATTAAAAATGCACTTGTTTTGTCTCTGAAGGCTCATTTCATCCTGAAGTGCCACATCTGGATGTGGTCAGTGATTTCTGTGCACATCTGCACGATGAACGGCTCTTTGCAGCCGTTTCACTGAACTCTGCTGAACGTGAAGGTGGTGTCACTTCTCTTGTATCAGAGGGATGGAGGAGCAGAAAGAGGGCGTGGTGAGGCCAAATAAGTTGAAGAGGGTTTGAAAATGAAGGTGGTGGTGGTGGGGGGGGGTCAGCTGGTCTTTGTTTACAGACACACGGAGTGTCATGAAGGCTGCTGCAAGGGTGAAACGAGTCACGAGTCTTCTCTGAGCACCGTGCAGACTCTGAGGGAGAACCCCCCCCCCCCCAGCTGTATTTCTCACAGAGATGGACGACCGTGAAGCTGCAACGAGAGGTTTATTTGATGGCGGTGCTCGGCTCGTATATTTCTCTTTTGTAGGAACTTGTTGTGTTGGTGCTGCAGCTCGTAGCTCAGAGGCTCCTGGGAGGAGCTCACGCTCTCCGTCTGCAGTCGCAGATAAATTATTCCACACGTCACCGGAGCAGAAGCTCCTCGTCACTGCCAGTCCAAAACCACGACGTCATAACGTTGCATGCACCTGTCTGTCGTGTTAGCAAAATGGTGGCTCAGAGGTTAGTAGGTGGGCTCGTAATCGGAAGGTTCAACTCCCCAGAGCGACGACATCAAAATGTGGTGGGAGAGGCACCCACACCTGCCTCCACCCTCATTTGCTCCACTCTGGGCCCTTGAGCAAGGCCCTCAACCCCCACCCTGTGCCCCCCCAGCGCCCTGCTGCAGCTCTCTGCTCCACTCAGAGGCTGGGGTA